CGACAACTTCCTCCAGGCCCGCTCCCTGCGCCGCGCGCAGGACGTCCGCAAGCAGATGCTGGGTATCATGGACAGACACAGCCTGGACGTGGTGTCCTGCGGCAAGGCCACGGTGCATGTGCTGAAGGCCATCTGCAGTGGCTTCCTCCGCCACGTGTCCAAGAGAGACCCACAAGAGGGCTACCACAAGCTCCTCAGCCAGTGGGGGGTCTACCTCCACCCCTCTAGCACCCTCTTCAACCGCCAGCCCAAGTGGGTGGTGTACCACGAGCTGGTGCTGACTATCAAGAAGTACATGTGCAAGGTCACCACCGTCGACCCGCGCTGGCTGGCAGAGTTGGCGCCCGCCTTCTTCAAGTTCTCGGACCCCACCAAGCTCCACCAGCAGAAGCAGCGGCATAGCCTGGAGCCCCTGTACAACCGCCACGAGGAGCCTGATGCCTGCAGGATCTTGCAGGCCTTCCACCGCCGCAGCCACTGGCGGCGCGGAGCCCCCCACACGCACACCCGAGCCTCGCTGTCAGCCTGCCTCCAAGCTCTGACAGGTTGACACCCCTTCGTGGTCGTAGCTGGAGCTACCGCCCCCCACCGTGTAGGACGTCCCTCTCCCCCAGTCCCAACCCGCTCCCGTGTGCCCTCTGCAACAGGAGACCTAGTGGGAAGGGAGCCCCCGAGCCCTGAGCCTCCTGCCCTTCTCCTTGCGTCCCTTCCTTCCGTCCCTGCCCTCGCTGCCTTCCCTGCCCCCCCACGCCCGCCCTGCCCTTCCAAGCCACCTCCTGGAAAGGTTCCCCGTCTGTCTGAAGGGGCTGACAACGGCTACCTTTATTGACCTTGAGCCGAGAGGGTGCCACAGCAGATCACGGATCACCTGCGAAAGAGGCAGCAGTGGCCTGGGAGGCGCAAGTGCCTCCATCCCTCCAAGAAACAGTGCAGAGAAGGGGCTGCAGGTGCACTCTTCTAGCAAGTGCTGCGCTTCCTGGCCTCAGACCCATCGGCAGTGAAGAGGTACAGGGGGAAACAAGGATCAACGCTCCATCACCTGGGAAGAACTTTTCCTGAGCCCAAGCACCCCAGCCTTCACAGCTCCCACGCGGCTACGGCATCCCCACTGCCCGGCTCTGCCAGCAGAGGGCACCGGCGGACACGGTTCCCTTCATGCCTGCCTTTCTGGATTGCAGGGAGACAGTTTTCAGGTGGACGCACAAGCACTTCCCTGGACTTCTCTCCCCAGCTCAAGCGCAGAGGGAACTGAAACTGGAACCGGAAGACGGGCACACCTCCTGATTCTCCGGGAACGCTTCACTCCCCCCACTTTGATAACCACCCCACCCCGAAAGGAATCTTTGATTGCTCCACTCAGGGAGCACAAGGGAACTAGGAATATGTGGGTCTCTCCGGGAGGCACACAGACACGTTCAGAGCTACCCTCCTTGGAACCACAAGGCAGAAAGGCATCAAAGTGCAGCTCGCCTGCCCCCACGAGGGAGGGGTTCGCAGCACACTCGCCATGCCTACTTGGCTGCCAGGCTTCAAGAGAACTTCGTGTGGGAACTTGGCAGGGCAAGCCATATGCCTCGGCAGCACTTTTGGAGCTTTCTCCCCCTCTACTTGCACTCAAGTGAGCAATCCAGGTCTACCTATTCTTCCCCGGAGGACTTTGGCCAGGTGCCAAATGCCAGCCCTCTGATAGCCCCCACTCAACGGACTGTCCCTTTTGACACACCCACCTCTGGGAGTCAGTGGAGCTATGCCTTCCTGGGCGACCGTGGACTATGGAAAAATTGGGTTGAGCGCAAAAGGGGCTGGCTTCCAGCACCTATGTCTGCAAGACCAGAGAGTGCGGTGGGATGTTCGAGTGGCTAGTAGCTACTGTCCGTCTCCTCGGCTTAGTGCAGAAAGCCTGGGAGAAAAGCGCGCAGACTCGGCTTCCCGAGAGGGTGGCGCTTGGAGCACATACCCAACACACAACCTTTCCGGCTACTTGAGAGTCTGGGTGGGTCTGACACTTTACCAGTCGAGGGCGTGACACACCCTAGTCTCTAGTGGGTGGGGGACACCAAGGCAACGGACAGAGGTGTGAGAGCCCTTAATGTTCCTGGGACCATGGGTAGCTGAGATCCTTCTGCACCAGGGCTTCCTCAGCAGATTGGGAAACGTAAATCTCACGTGCAGATACCAGCAGAATCAAGGCAAAGGAAGCAACGAGGACATCTGGTCTCCGCATGCGAACAAAATAGATCTCCAGGAACCAACCCGAGTGAGCTGGCCCAGAAATACGTGATTCTTTGGCACCACTCGACCCGCCTCACAAGCCACACTAAGGGGAGTTGCTCACGCTGTGGGCAGACAATATCAGCGACCAGAAGACAAAGTATACGACTCAATGGTCAAAGTAAATCTTGGCAATTCCAAAACCATTAACTATGGGAACAGGACCAGGTATTTCTGTCACACACATGCTGCCCCCCACAGAGACAGAGAGAGAGAGAGAGAGAGAGAGAGAGAGAGAGAGAGAGAGAGAGAGGGAGGGAGGGTGAGAGAGAGAGAGAGAGTGAAAGAGACAGAGAGAGAGAGACAGAGAGAGAAGAGAGAGAGAGGGAGAGTGAGAGAGGGAGACAGGGAGACAGAGAGAGAGAGAGAGAGAGAGAGAGAGAGAGAGGGAAACAGAGAGAGTCAAGCAGTAACCATCTATCCCTGTTGCTGGGCGGTTGAGATCTGGAAATGATTTCTCTTTTCTTTCTTTGGCTTTCTGACACAGTGTCTCCCTCTATAGCCCCCACCGTCCGTCCGAGCCTTCCAGGGATCCTCCTGCGTCAGCCTCCCCAGTGCTGAGGTGACAGGCATGCACCACCACACACACCTGGCTTGGGAACTAGTTTCTTGTCTCTCGGGATAGGTAGGGTGGGTAGTGAGTACCGGCCATTCTTCTTAATCTTTATGCAGAGGTAGATTATTTGCCATGAATCTCTCCATAGCTAGATTAAAGGGTCACACAGCGGCCATGCGAGGAAGGCGATACACTAAGCAGAAGCAATTTATTATGTGTCACATTACCTTCAAATACATCCCACCCACACCCACACACACACAAACACACCTACACACACACACACACGCCCACAGGAACATCTCCTCCAGTGCTGTGTAGGCCCCAGGGAAGGAATATAGGGCCTCATCTCAGAAGATCCCGCTCTGTCACCGCGCAGCAAACCCAGCCTGAATTCCTTTTCTTTGTCAGTCTTGGGGAT